CTAATCTATCAATCTTTACCTCTACCTATAGGCTATTGTCAAGGAAGATTGGAATTATATTCCAGCAATATCCAAAGATTTATAAATCTGCCACCTCTGATTAAGAAACTTGCAAGTAGAATGTGAGGGTGATGGCCAGGGGTGGGATTCTACCAGTTCGCACCTATTCTCTAGAAACGGTTGTTAACATTCTAAGCAGTTCGGAGAACTGGTTGTTAGAAGAAATTACTGGCCTAATCCTGTAAGAAAGGAAGGAAACATTCTGGTGTTGCTTACAGAAACTGCCTCTCCGTTAACCCTTATTCCATTCTTGGCAGGACTAGACTTCCTGTCTCAGGAATGTCTCTGGAATTTTTTCCCCCTCCTTTGCTGGCACTTTGCTTGTATGGTGTGACCATTCAAAGTTACAATGGCACTGAAAAAAGTGATTTATGACCCTTTTTCACACTTACAACTGTTGCAGCATCCCGACAGTCATGAGAGGCCAGGAGAAGAGATGGGTGCCTCGATGTGAGTGATATTGAGTTGGACACACCCAGCCAATAACATGACCACCAAGCCATGTCCACCCAGTCACATGACCATCAAGCCACGCCCACCACTTAAGCCATCCCCACAGAACCTGTTGTTAAAAATTTGAATCCCACCCCTGGTGATGTCCAATATACTTTCAAACATACAAACATATGTAAATATATACACTGCTCAAAAAAATAAAGGGAACACAAAAATAAGACATCCTAGATCTGAATGAATGAAATATTCTTATTAAATACTTTGTTCATTACATAGTTGAATGTGCTGACAACAAAATCACGCAAAAATTACCAATGGAAATCAAATTTAGCAGCCCATGGTGGTCTGGATTTGGAGTTACACTCAAAATTAGAGTAGAAAAAAACACTACAGGCTGATCCAACTTTGATGTAATGTCCTTAAAACAAGTCAAAATGAGGCTCAGTGGTGTGTGTGGCCTCCACGTGCCTGTATGGCCTCCCTACAACGCCTGGGCATGCTCCTGATGAGGTGGCGGAAGGTCTCCTGAGGGATCTCCTCCCACACCTGGACTAAAGCATCCCCCAACTCCTGGACAGTCTGTGGTGCAACGTGGTGTTGGTGGATGGAGCGAGACATGATGTCCCAGATGTGCTCAATTGGATTCAGGTCTGGGGAATGGGCGGGCCAGTCCATAGCATCAATGCTTTCGTCTTGCAGGAACTGCTGACAAGACTCCAGCCACATGAGGTCTAGCATTGTCTTGCATTAGGAGGAACCCAGGGCCAACCGCACCAGCATATGTTCTCACAAGGGGTCTGAGGATCTCATCTCGGTACCTAATGGCAGTCAGGCTACCTCTGGCGAGCACATGGAGGGCTGTGCGGCCCCCTAAAGAAATGCCAACCCACACCATTACTGACCCACTGCCAAACCGGTCATGCTGGAGGATATTGCAGGCAGCAGAACGTTCTCCACGGTGTCTCCAGACCCTGTCACGTCTGTCACATGTGCTCAGTGTGAACCTGCTTTCATCTGTGAAGAGCACAGGGCGCCAGTGGTGAATTTGCCAATCTTGGTGTTCTCTGGCAAATGCCAAACGTCCTGCACGGTGTTGGGCTGTAAGCATAACCCCCACCTGTGGATGTCGGGCCCTCATACCACCCTTGTGGAGTCTGTTTCTGACTGTTTGAGCAGCCACATGCACATTTGTGGCCCCCTGAAGGTCATTTCTCAGGGCTCTGGCAGTGCTTCTCCTGTCCCTCCTTGCACAAAGGTGGCGGTAGTGGTCCTGATGCTGGGTTGTTGCCCTCCTACAACCTCCTCCACGTCTCCTGATGTACTGGCCTGTCTCCTGGTAGCGCCTCCATGCTCTGGACACTACACTGACAGACACAGCAAACCTTCTTGCCACAGCTCGCATTGATGTGCCATCCTGGATGAGCTGCACTACCTGAGCCACTTGTGTGGGTTGTAGTCTCCGTCTCATGCTACCACTAGAGTGAAAGCACCACCAGCATTCAAAAGAGACCAAACCATCAGCCAGAAAGCATAGGAACTGAGAAGTGGTCTGTGGTCACCACCTGCAGAACCACTCCTTTATTGGGGATGTCTTGCTAACTGCCTATGCTTTCCACCTGTTCTCTATTCCATTTGCACAACAGCATGTGAAATTGATTGTCAATCAATGTTGCTACCTAAGTGGACAGTTTGATTTCACAGAAGTGTGATTGACTTGGAGTTACATTGTGTTGTTTAAGTGTTCCCTTTATTTTTTTTGAGCAGTGTATTTAGGGTACACACACACACACACACACACACACACACACACACACACACACACTGTTTTCAAACTATCTCCACACCAGTCAATAAACTAGTGACTATATCAGGCTTAGAAGATTATTGTATCAATTGATTTCTTCTTGATCCCAGCAGTTGTTTAATTGTGCAGAAATACGTACCACAGCATATTATAGATGCACTACCAATCCTTATCTAAAAGCAATAGAATGAACTTTAGAACGACTTTTTTCTCCAGATAGTTGCCAAAGAGTAACCTTTTGAAAAATGTTATCAGCTTGATTTTGGAAATGATGTAACCCAGAAACCTAAAACTTTGAGAGGTAGCATATTTATACGAAATAAATGGCAATTGTTTTGATAGTTTTCAACACTGAATGCAATCTTCTTGGCAACAAATTACATTGTCAGATTTTTTTTAGCTCAGTGAAGAGCAGTAATTTGTGATTTTGAATTTGATCTACTGCAGATGAAAATTACCTAAAATTGGTATTGTGCAGAAAAATAAGTAAACAGGTGGTGAAAAATATACCTTATGGCATATGACCCACTCAGGTCAGAATTCAGTAGCTGTATGGGTAGATGGATGATGGGAAGACAGTCCTGCAAATCTTAGTAGTAAAAGAATATTGTATTTCTGATACCATTTTAGACATTTTTATAAATTGAAGAATAGTAAAGTGTAAGACTTTGATATATTGCCCACACTTAGATGGCAGATTGTGTGAAAAAGCTGACAGCTGAATTATAATTCTTTGTCAAAATGTCTTTTCTTTGATTGAACATTTGTGTTAGCTGAATGTACAGTTGCGTAATGGTAATTGTAGCTGTAGAAATCCAGGTTCAGATCTTCAGTCAACTAATGAGGCTTCACTAGATAATTTTTACTGAGTCACTGTCTCTCATCCTAACCATCTTTTAGAGTTGTTGTGAAATTGCAATAGTAAAAAGTATTTTATATCTTGCAAAAACATATAGAAATTATATCCATAACACTTACTATGATTAAAAAAAAATATAGTGCATGATTTTGAACAGTTGCATATAAGCCATGATTATCAAATGGCTTGAATTTTCGTATTATAAATGATTAGAATGATAGAATTGGAAAAGGCCATTTAGGTCATGATATATCTCCCTCCTTAGTACAACCATGGAAATTCAATAGGGGACTAATTCAGTCAGTCTCTTAATTCTGGGCTTTTGTGTCTGTAAAAATGAAAGGAAATTCAATGAGATAAGGCAAGATGAAAAGTAACAAACCATGAATCTCACTGTTATCATTGCTACAATCTGATGTCTGTTGCATTCATTCAATCAATGAGGATAGCACTTGGTTTTGCTTTCTTTTTAACATTTTTGTTCATGCTGATCCTGTAGGCAATGGCTTTTCTAATAGGAGCAACTGCTCAGGTTTTTTCATGTGATTATCTCCATCTTAGATTTTTGAAAAGCATTCTGTGTGATCTGAAATGATTGGTAGGAAAAAGTGACAATGTAGTCTGCCCAGGATCTTTTAAAGGTCTATAGTGTCATGTCCATCTCAACAATTCATGATAAGTTATATTCTAGCTTAGCTTCTGATTGAAATACTCAATTTCAAAAAATAGAAATGATCATTTATATATTAGATAGATTTTTAAGATTCGAAATGGTGTAGTACAAGTAAATTCTTAAAAAGAACTTAGGGTTCCAATCAAATGTTTAAACACCAGCATGTTGTATTGACAGTGTATTATATTTAATGCTTAGTCAAAAGAGTTCAAGATTCAACTTAACTGTAGATTAATCTTTTATATATAGATTTGGTGCCAAGAGAAAGAATAGGATTTAAATGTTGAATAAATTTCACATTTTCAATGCTCTCTACTGTACATAAAGTAATTACAAAAATTGGCATATTTATGAATAACATTTTATGAATATTTAACATATCTAAGAATAAGATTTAAGTATATAAATGAACAAAAAGCCAACCATAGTACATAAATATTAAAAACACTCTGATCTGTTGCGCAGTTTTACCTACACCAAACCTCTTTCAGTTTCAAAAATAATTAGAGTGGTTCACTTGAATGACTGCATTTGGAATTTTTGAAGTAAACTTTAATATTTGTGAAGTAAACTTTCTAATGAATACATAAAGTGATTGATGATTGCTTTGGAAACAAGTTCCATTTCCATGATTTCATGCGCTATTGTTTTTCTCCGAATGGATTTCTAGAAAATAAATACAATAATATTGGGTCAATAGAGATCTCCAGACCACCTGATTTGCTCCTGGATCTAATAATATTTAGCATCTATAAAATATTATCTTAAATTGCTTTGCATCCATTTCTTAGGAGTTATTATTCAGTGACACTTGGAGATGCAGTATTACATTATCTAGTGCTCCTTTTATTTTTCCTGTACAATTCTCTAACCAATATCTGATTTAGGGTGAATGCGCATTAAACAAGAAACCATGACATAGCATTACAAAGACTTTGCATCAATGACCCCCACCTTTCAGGCATTTACAGCGAGAAAGAAATTTGGGTGTTTTTATTTTTTATTTATAAATCCAAGAATGGCAGTGCCTGACTTGGTTGTAGTGTTACAAATTTTTGGTCAGAGACATCATATACCTCCGTTGTGACTAGGAAAATTGAAATATGCTATACTATCACTCTCAGCTAAATAATTTTATTTCTTTTTAGAACTGAAACATGAAATCCATGTTTGGAAGCTGACAGCCCAGAGAATTAACCCTGCAAGCAGAGAAGAAACAGCTGTGAAGTGCCTCTTAATGCAAAAAGTTAGAACTCTAGAGTTCTTGCTAAGGAAAAAGCTCAAAACTTTCCACAGGTAATGTCAAGCTCTTGATAGCCAGTCTTACTGTAAACAAGACCTACACAGAATCATCTTTAGCTTTATCATAAATTAAAGTGTTAGGATTCAGGGTTTCCAGGCTTAACAACTTTAAGATATGTGGACTTCACTTCCCAGAATTCTCCTCCCAGGAGGTTGAAATTGACACATCTTGCTGAGCTTGAAAATTACTGGATAAAGTTATGGAAATCTCAATACCTAGACTACTTTTATTTAAGTCTCATATTTAAGGTAATATTCTGTATTTTCTTTCAAATGTCTCTCTGGTCAAACAATGGGTTGCTTGCCCATTTCCTGAAAAACTAAGAAATATGCAAATGTACCTCCAAATCAGATCCAGAGAAAGGGGAAATTGACCTGAGAATATTTAACTATGGCATAAAGTGGATTAAGAAACAGAAGTCAAGGTGCAGGATGAAATCTGGTTTGATAGAGACTTAACATGATGAAAAAGCAACAACAATAAAAAACAAACTTAAAAATATTTTTAATTAAACACATTAAATGTAAATGAGAAAAACATTTGAAAACATATCTGTATTATATATCTCAATAGGAATCCTGCAGCTGCTATAGTGTACATTTAATAGGAAATCTGAGTTTTCTATTATGTGGTAGTCTAGGACCATTCTAAATTAAGCAATTGCTTAGAATTACATTCCTGAATCTTTTAATTTTGTTACCCCCAACTACAAGTATTAAAAAGAGCAACGCTATTAAATAGCTCAAGAAATTCTATTGATATTCATTGTTAGTGAAATATCCATTCTTTTTAAAATCATGAATTGTTAGGAAAAAAATTATGTGGAGGGTGAATCTCTTTGGGTCTATCCATCAGCTAGATAGTTCTCTGAAACTTAAAAGGAACAAATCACAATTGGTATTGTCAGAGGAACTGACAAAAGAAAGATTCATCTAAAAATGAGCCCAAAGATGCCATTATTTTTTCCTCTGGTCCATCCCTAGAAAATAGGCAATTGCAACTACTCCATTCTAGGATCTTTTATCTTCCCTCCAGATTATCTGACCCAGCACCAGAGATGGTATTCAGCAGGTTCTGACCAATTCTGGAGAACCAGTAGCAGAAATTTTGAGTAGTTCAGAGAACCAGCAAATACCACTTCTGACTGGATATTTTACAGTATCCTTCCCCTGCTATGCTCACCAAGCCACGCCCACAGTACCGGTAGTAAAAAAATTTGAATCCCACCACTGCCCAGCACAAAATATATGCAAACTTTCCTCTATTTTTCAGCAAAACGCAACATACCCAGACTGAATGAGCAGAGAGCAGAAATACACACAGAAATGCAACATATTTTTTTGAATGGAGAAGGAAATATAGTGCTTCCTATAGCCACTATTGATAAAATGCTTTAATGTATTATATAAATTATATTCTCCATGCATCGCTTATCTTGTTTTTAAGGAGGAAGCACTAGAGTTAAAAGTATTCACAAATTACAGATTTATTTTGGAGCATGTTGGCATTTGACTTGGGGACTAAATTTACAAACAATAGTGTGATAGTGTCAATTTCTTGAGCTCTGTGTGAAGATTTTGACTGGGTATGTCAGAGACAAAAAAAACAATATAAAATATAGCTAATATTTCATGAAAATATAACCTTGTTGCTTTTGGATAAATTAATTAGATACGATAACTGAATATATCACAGATGTTGTGCATTTGTAGATAGTGATCCAAAGTTTAATGAGGCACAACACAAATTCTTCTAATCTTTTGGAGATCCTGTTGTAATTTATAGGTACTGTTCATCACATTTAGGATTAGCATTTAAGATTCTTTGGAAATGTGGAGAAATTCCAGTTTTTGGAATATAATAGTATCATGTATTGTTTAAGATAGCTATATGTTGTGTCACTTAATAATAATTGGATATGGAACATAAATATTAAGTATAATTACCGGTAACAAATAATGATATAAGTTCTTTTTCTATTAGTATGGTTTATATATATATAATTTCAGACAAATTTCACAAGAAGATAAAAACTGGGAAACAAATATCCAGGAGCTCCAAAAAAAGGTAAAAAATTCTGAGAAATGTTAACCTACATTTGTAATGTTCTACTTTTCTTGATATTGAGAACAATGCCAGTGTACAAAATCTTCTATTTTGAAATTTGCCAAGGACCCAAAAATACAATTATTTTGAGTCTGAAGTGCACATATAGGTACTCTCCCTTAAGGTCATATCTAAATAACTAAAGGTATTTTAGAACACTTTGTTTTATTTCACAAGACTATCTTTGTCTGAAATAGAAAATGGTCTGTTGCTTTGCATCTTGGAAGAGCAAGTACCATTATACAATTGTAATGTAATTCTTTATTATGCTCAATCTCAGTAAAATCTCAATAAAGAATAAAACAAAACCAAAATAGTAAAACATTAAAAACAAAAGCTGGTACGAGGGTATAAGGAACAAAACAGACTACAATAAAACAATACAATTATGTTGCAGAAATCAACTTCTGAGAATACAAGCAATAAAACAAAAACTGAGTAATATTTAAGGGATGATATGTGTGATGCAGGAAAACAAGCCTCAAACTGTTGCTGCCAGATCAGTTTACTGCCTTGATTAGATATTTGATATTGAACATTATTTTGAGTTCTAGGTTTGAACAAATGAAGCAGTGTCTGTTTATGTTTTCAATCATTGTCCTTGAACACTCAAGGAACTGAGGAGAATAAATTCCAGCAAGTTCTTTAGATCTTTGGAATATGCAATATTTGCTTTCTGTTACTTGCTAGTCAGCTCCCCTCTCTACAAAGCTATCTGCCTCAGGATGATTCTACTTGTTATTATTTTTTATTATATGCAATACAAATACAAAATAAAATGATAAGAAACATTAAAAACATTCAGCAGACAATAACTAGTGAGAAAACTGAGTTTCTTGGGAATTTGATTAAAAGAAAAATTAAAAATCAAGTGCAAATACTTTTATAAAAAGCACAATATAAAAGAAAGTGACCCTCATTTTACATGCATAAAGCTTTCCCTTAAACTTTCCTTAAAGTTGCTCAGTTAGACTTTCAGTACTTTGAAATATGGTAATAATAAGATTCTTCTAACTTTTGATACTTTAGTTGATCAAAATATCTGGCTGAGATGATGCTAAGTAGTTGATTGGCCTTCTAAAAATACATCTCTTAGAAGATTTGTCCATAGCTATAATGTATAGCCTTCCTGCCAAGTTAGATGGATGAAAATTTAATGCTAAAAGATTTTCCTGAAAGATACTATAATATTGCATTTTCTGCCATATAGAGCTTTTCTATCTTGTGAAGAAATCATCAGGTGGATGTCACTGTGGATAGTCCTAAATAGTAAAAGGATATACTTAACCAATAGTCAAAGCTCCACGTCTGCAGATCCACTTTGGAAACACTTTGTGGAGAGCTACATTGAGTCCACATTGGGCTATTTGAAAAAAATTATTAAAAAATTTGTACCAATTCTGGTGATGTAGAGTTGCCAATCTGTCGTAGTTAGATGAGCCATACTTGAATCGTCATGCTTGGGTTGTTAGTAAAAATTATTCCATTGTTTGTAGAGATAAAATAATATAGCTAGTGATGAGAATTAATGGCTGATGACAATTTCTTGGAGTTGTGCAATATATAATTCAAATGGGAACTCTGCCTTTTGCATGGTTATGACTCATAACAGCTGCATCAATTTCTAGAATTGCTTGTCTGTACAAAAATCCATCTACATGTTCTGTAACACTATTTCTGAACTGCCTCTAAGACACTGAAGAATGCTAAAGATTATTTAATTCATCATGGCGGGAGGGGGGTTATATTTCCATTAGCTAATAATTATTTGAAAATGTTTTAAATAAAATATCTGATTTGATTTGACTGAGAGAGAATCCAATCCTTATGAATTAAAGAAGTCCTTAAAACTGCTTTATGCATTTGTGTTGCATTCGGAGAATACGGTAGCTTCTTCAAAGCTTCTGGAAAAGAATGCCTACGGATTGGATATAGATATGTGGTAAACTCTCTTTGTAATCTGGGATTTGATGGACAGCATTCCTAACTGTACATTTTAGCTTAATGCTGTTATCAATTTCTTGCAGATCTTCCCTGCAATGGAAGGTTAGGAATAAAGATTCCACTGCAAGTTTTTCTCATTCTTAAAAATTTATGGATCTGGAATACAGATAGTTTCCTAAAGTGGAGGTCTATGTCAAATTATTTATTTCATTTGTTTCTAAATGAATGTTTGTGCATGGGGGAAAATCACAGTAAATACTATATCCCATAATAAATGAATAAAAGTAGAAAAAAAATACAGTGTTCTACCTGCATTTTAACCATAATTAACACAATTTATCAATAACCTGACATAGCTGTTGAGAGGCTGGTTAGTCGTGGAATGTATGGCTCCTGGTACTTAAACATTATTAAGGGACTTTCATTTTGGTATTTCTGTTCCTGATATAATAAGAAAAAAAGCATGAGATCTGATTTTATTTCTATGATGAAAATAAAAACTTCAATTGAGATGAAAGACTTACTGCTGTTCCCAAGATTGTCTACAGGGTTCTACTTGGAAATGTAATATAAATCTCTAAAATGCAAATGTGTTTCATTCTAAATTTAAAATATTGTTTTCACACTTTAGATGTTTCCTCTGCCATTTTAATAAAAACATATATTACAGTCATATTTGGTTCTGACTTGGGAAACATGCTAGTATGAAATTGGATATTTGATGACTATTTCCACTTGATTCATCTATTTTTTTTTCTTTTGAACAGCACAGAATAACAGACAAGTTGCTTCTCATCAAATGCCTGATGGTTTTAGGAATTGTTATTCTCATGTACTTTCTCAATTCATTTGTTCCAGGAATTCATTTAGATCTTGGTAAGCTTCATTTGGATTATTTATTGGTGTTTAAATTTGTTCTACTTTTGTAGGAGAAGAGCAGGCAGAGTTGGGGGCAGAGTTAGGTGCATTGTTAGTTTAGAGTTGTTGTGTTCCCATAAGTGATCCAAGTCTTACCCCTCCTGAATTCCATTGACTGTGCCAATTTATCTGTGCCAATTTAGTGTTGAAGTTTAGTTGACCACATTCTTATGTATAGGAGAGGTCTCTTCCAGCCCTGGATTGCTGTGCTATGTAGTTTCTATGCTGCAATTTCACAAATGGTTTTGATTCTTTGCGCCTGACAACTTTAAGTGCAGTGCTCCATGCAGGTTTGTGTGTGTGTGTGTGTGTGTGTGTGTGTGTGTGTGTGCTTGTGTATATGTATATTCTTAGGCATAATTCCTATACAGTTCAAGACTATGTAATTCTATCTCATTTGTTGAAGACTTGATGATACATTTCTTATATTGCATTATAAAAGATTTAACTATTTTCTCTCTGGTTTTTCCTGTTGCTGAGTTCTTGCTGATAATCATATAAACCAAATTCAAGGCCCAGGGCTGGATCCAGCCTGGGGAGGTGCTTAGATCAGGCCTGTGGGGTTGCCTCAAAAACAGCAAAAGACTGGCCCATGGTGCTTCTGCCAGCAAAAACGGAGCTTGTGAGGGCCCCAAGATCCATTTTTTCTTGTCGAGGGTTGCAGGAGGCTGTCGCAGCTGAAAATGCAGCTCAGGCCCCATTTTCACTGGCAGTCACCCCCCTGACATGAGTGATGTCATGTTGGCCATGCCCATCTTGGCCACGCCCCCTCCCCCGCTCGACATCAAACCCAACCCTGATGTGGCCCTTGATGAAATCAAGTTTGACACCCCTGATATAAACTATAATTGAAATATAATTTATATATTGTGCTGCTAGTACCACAACCACTGTATCATTTTTTTTTAAATGGAAAATAAGATTCTTTTTCTAAAGTTCTTGGTCTGGGTTTGTATGGATTCTTAGATTTTGTTCAATGATATTTTAAAGAAATGTGTCATAGGTTGGATTGAAGACATTTTATATAATACTTTAGAACACAATTTAAACTACTCTACATACTTGGATTGCAGAGGACACTCAGTAATACATTTTCCATGTATAATTTTAATTTTTAGTGAATGCATATAAAAGAGAGCCTAGCCATTTCTCTGCATTTCAGAGCAGTGTCCCAGTTATCTTCCAAACGGCCTTTCCTTATGCAGTGAAATCTCAAGTTAGTAGACCTGGATATAATGGGTGTTGCATGAAATGCATCAGTTTTCATAATCAATTAACTTGATTTGCTTAATTACATAATTAAACAAGGGATGCAAATTTCAATATTCAAATAATGCAAATTGACAGAAATTGGGTGATTTGCATCATTTGCACAATGATGTTATTAGGCAAATAATGCAGATTACAGTGCAGTCACCTACTCAATGTCAGATTCTATGAATAGTGGACAACTCTCCACACAATTAGTGAAAATGAGTTTTTGCTCTACTACAATTTCAGTTGTAGTGAGACTGCTTTTAGAAGCGGAAAATTACAGAGGAAAATCCAAGTTCAGGACCTAGGAACATAGAACTGTGCTTCTTTTTGTATGGTTTGCCAGCCTTGAAATATACGTTTAATATGGTAGCAACTGCAATATTTAGTGCTACAAAAGTAGTACTGCCTTTATTTTTAATGAAATGCAATTGTGTTAATATCTGCTGATCAATAGAATATGTTAAATGTTTCATTTCTAATGCATGATTTATCAGGGCTAGCAAAAATATTTTAAGTATAGAGGTATACATTTGAACCTGGGAGAGGTTTTAAGTTGTTTTTTTATTTAATTATTTTTGTTAGCGGCTTTGAACACTTTTTATCAGAAAAGCAAGATTGAAATACTTTAGTTAACTAATTTTCAATAAATTTATGCTAAGAATTTTGCAGTGCTATCACCAAATTCAATCTTTGGAAGAGAATTACTTCTACCTGTGGAAAGATACTAGATTAGCACTATGTCCTACCTAGGTTTAAAACTAAATATACTTTAAAATTCTACAAAGCTTGCAGTTCTTTTAACACTAAGGCCTACATCTCTGCAATTGGTTACCATTGGTATCCAACTGACTTCTCTTATCAACATCCTAGTTTTAATTTGATTTAAAAGTTATTCTCTTCCCCTGGAGAACTATGTTAGCTAGAATTTTTTTTTGAGAAAAACAGGGACTTTTCACAAACATGTAAATGCAAAGGATATTTAGGAGAAATTGGGGGAATTATATCTTTGAGGCTGAAACACAATGTTTGCATGTTGGAAATGAGTTTCTTTATGCATGTTCTGCCAAAATATTCTTTTTCTATTGATAGTGACAGCAGAGAGGGTAGTGTGATGAAAATATTAATTGTCTTTTCCTGATGCATACTTTAAAGATGAAATAGAATTTTAGCACAGGAATGGAAGAAAAAAATTATTTATTTTAGATTTGAGCACCATCTTATCTAATTGCGTATTTTCAAATCAATACATGGATCAAAATTTAATTATTTTTGAAAACTGCAGATCTTCAAATTTTGCTAAGCCCTTTGCCAATTTAAAAAAAATATGTTAAGAAAAAGTCTATATCATAGGCATCTAGTATAAATCTCAGCGAGGAAAGAAGGATGAACTATGTGTTGTGGTATAATAAAATAAACCCTCCCATTTATGGTGAAATTTTAAAGGTGACATTGGTTTGTGTCACAAGACTAGTATGTATGTTTCATCACGTCTCCCATGAATGCTTATGCTCTGCACAAAATGCATATATTCAATGAAAATGTGTTATGCTAAAGAATCTGTGAAACCAGTTGAAGAAATTTGATTGGTGGAATCCAGAAGGGAGCCTTCTTTACTTCCATATTGCCCTTTGGAACATGTTACACCTCCCTGGTCCCGAAGTGAAGCAAGACCCGTTCTTCTGGCCTCCCAAAAAAGTGTTAAGACCAGGCTCTACCAATTGGCATGGCTATTGAAGACTGATATGAAACCCTTGGAACGGCTGGTGAAGTCAGGCTGCTCCCTTTGCCTTTTAAAAAATGTAATATCATACTTTTATCTTTATTCTTAACTCTGTTTTAATTTTTTTGTATTTATGCTTTTCTACCACATGTTTTTTTTAATTATAAACTGTCCAGAGTTTTGTTCCATCATAAAAAAGAACTGAGAAAAATCACAATTTGATATACTTGCTACTTGGTACTCAATTACTTTGAAACTCATCAAATTTATACTCAATGCATTTTGATGTAAAATGTTTGTTCCAGTCATAATTTGTTTGATACTCAACACACAAGCTAGAACTTGTGGGCGTTGGCTACCTTGTGATTCACTAGATCAGTGGTTCCCAAACTTTTTAAGTCCACCGCCCCCTTGGTGCTACAAACTCATCCTCGGTGCTCCCCACCCAGAGGTGGGATTCAAATTTCTGTGGGTGTGGCCTAATTTGAGGGTGTGGCTTGCTGGTCATGTGACTGGGTGGGTGTGGCCAGGTGACTGGCAAACCAAATACAAGTGGTCCTCACTTAATGGGTGGTTGTTTAGCAAGTGTTCTAATTTATGACTAGCCTCCCCAGAGCTACTTGACCTGTTTTTGGAGTTTTGACAGCTTTAGATCAAGGGTCTAAATCCCACCCCTACTGGTGTGTGTGAGAGAGAGGGAGAGAGAGAGGTTGGATCAGATCTCTCTCTCCCACCAACGCCAGAAAGCAACCGTCAGTCAAAATTCATATTAGTGGTTTATGGGATTTAAAATTATGAGTTTGGTGGTCCCTGAGGTCCAAAAGTTTGGCGACCCCTGATCTAAAGGGGTGAGCCTGAGAGAGAGAAAGAGAGAGAGAAAAGAACGAGAAAGAGAGAAAGAAAAGAAAGAGAAAAGGGAAAGAAAAAGGGACAGATAAAGAAGGGGGGATGGAAGGAAGGGACAGAAAGAAAAAGAAATAAAGAAGGAGGGAGGGAGGGAGGAGAAAGATAATGAGATATTTATTCTAGTCCAATCACCTGCTCCAGCAGGGTTAGAAGGGAGTGTGTGTGTGTGTGTGTGTGTTCTCCTTGTAATTTACCAGTACATTTTGGTTTTGCCTTCTTCAGAATTGGTACTGTAATACATTGGGGAAAAGTAATTTTTTAGGTTGGAGGTCTGGTCCAATGGATCCTGTTTAAAGCCTCAACAAAATGTGAGAGCTTCCTGATAGTCTTGACCATGTTTCATCCACAAAACTTTTAATAGAAGCCAAAGAGGTTTCAATGTGCTGGCAAAGATGCTTCACTGTGGAAAAGGGCCTCAGTCTAAACTAGGCCTCATTCAATCTGATGCATCAGGTCTCTATCTCCCTCCCTCCCTCCCTCTCTCCCTCCCAGACTGGCTTTGCTCTACTTTCCTGATGTGCCTGCGGGGCCGGTGCTTCGAACATGGATGGATGGAGAGGGGGGGAGGGAGGGAGGGAGGGAGAGAGAGAGAGGGAGGCAGATAGATAGATAGATATATTGGTAGATAGGTAGGTAGGTAAGTGGTAGGTAGGCAGGCAGGCAGGAAGACAGACAGAACTTTTGGATGGATGTATGGATAGGTAGATAGGTAGGTAGGTAGATAGGTAGATAGATCTATATTGGTAGATAGGTAGGTAGGTAGGCAGTCAGGCAAGCAGTCAGGCAGGCAGACCTTTTGGATGAATGTTTGGATAGATAGGTAGGTAGGCAGGCAAGCAGGCAGGAAGACAGACATACCTTTTGGATGGATGAATGGATGGATGGATGGATAGATAGGTATATAGATAGATCTATATTGGTAGATAGGTAGGTAGGTAGGTAGACAGAAAGACAGACAGGTAGGTAGGTAGGCAGAAAGGCAGGCAGGCAAACAGACAGACCTTTTGGATGGATGGACAGGCGGACGGATGGACAGACAGACAGACAGAATGTGACAGTGGTGGCACTTTGGGAA